TTAGCTTTTGAATTAGTATAAAAAAAAATAGTTCTGAATACTTTGACCTTACGCCGTAATACTTTACATATTCTGGAATGAACAAACATTTACTTATTGTTCTCAAATCATTAAACTAATTAATTTTTAATCAACCTATTAACTTTAATGACTAAACATTTTGCAAAACACGGCAACAACAAAAAGATAATTTTTCTAACTTAATTAGTAACATGAGCACACAATTAAATGTTTAAAAACTATTTCTGATATTATTTTGACCTATTTTAACATTCATTTAGCATATAATATCCCCTTAATAACACAAAGAATGATAATTCCTTATTTGCATATAAAATATACTTTCTAAATGTCTACTGGCTTTAACGCCTGGCAATCTAATCATGTTATTAACCGACATTAACACAATTTTAATTTTTCTAGATTACTATAGTAATTATAGGGAGGGTGCTCTCTTCATTTATATATTGTGTTTCCCAAGAAATTAAGAGGGACTTACCTTTGATTCCCTATAGTAGAAAATGTCGAATTGTGCTCCGACTCCACAATGTAAAATGTAATCACCAACAGATAACTTAATATTATAATCACAACCTGGCACATAACTTAATATTATAATCACAACACGGTAATACTGATGAATACGTTTGACCATACAGTGGCTGATCGCTTTATAGCATGGCAAGATTTCATAAAACCTTCTTTGCACGTGTGGCCTAAAATGTGCCATTTTCTGTCTTCATGGACATTTTTTCACATTCTTTGACAAACATCTTTTCACATTTTCTTTTACTATCCTTTTTTCAACTACATTTATTTAGTATTTTCACTATTTGGTGATTTCCTTTTTCCCACCGTCCTTACTGACGGCACCACTTTGTCACACCTCACACCCATTCAGACATGAGGCGGGTTCTTTTTTGTGCATTCACCATAACAAAAATAATCTTCATCAGCTTTGAAATTTTATCCACTAATTTATTACACATAACGGTACAGAATATCCCACGAAACGAATACACTGTTATACATTAGAATACACTGTTATATATTTAAAAAAATACTATGTATAATATAAAGCGCGCAAAAACATGTTTTAATTATCTCCTTTCAAATGGCATGCTTGCCGGTCCACTCGCAAGTTCCAAGCCTCGTATTCACCCCACCAGTACTGCCTCGTCTGGTTTTTCCAGGGTAGCTACGTCACTTCCCTTAATCGTCTTTCAGCCTCGCGGAGAAAGAGTTTCGGAAAAGTCTTCCGCTAGGGAAAGGAACTTCACACCTCCCCTCTGGTTTATAAATATTTACGACTGAGTCGAAAAATTTGAAACCCATATTATTTGGCACTTACCAGGTAGTCCCTCTTTTCCGGGACACAGCACAAGGAATCACAGTAAAATCAGAGAGCAAAAAAAAAAAGGGTCATGCTACAGTTATAAACCAAAAAAAAAAAAAAAAACAAAACTTAAAACACATAAACATAAAAACTGCACATGTCCAAATTTCTATAGCGATACAAACAAAACATTGCAATATCAATACAACTCACTGACACTTCTGTAATGGAATAATTCGTTTACTAATAGCTACCCTAATAAAACAATAATGACATATTAGTAATGATATCACCTTTCTAGAGTAACCACAATAATACAAAAAAAATAATAAATGAAAATTACAATATCTATATACTTTTTGCCATACTAGCATTGAACATTATCCTTTCTAGTGTTACAATAATAAACAAACACACACAAAAACTAAATATGATACCAAACATTAGTTTCTTTTTTTTTTTTTCCAATTTTAGTTCAGATTATTGGTCACTTATACATTCGTGAGGGATCCTCGACAATGCGTCTGCATCGGAGTTTTTAGCTCCTGGTTTATGCATTACAGTGACTTGGAAGCGGGATAGAGCTAATGCCCATCTCTGTAATCTAGCATTCCGGGGTATCCCTTCGGTTAAGTACTTTAATGGGTTATGGTCTGTATGCAACAAAATTTTATTTCCGTATGTCCAAGTTTCGAACTTGTCGAGAGCCCAAATAATTGCATACGCTTCTCTTTCTATAGTGCTCCATTTAGACTGAGCGCTAGTTAATTTCTGGCTAGCAAATGTTATCGGTCTAGCTTTCCCATACTCTCATCTCGTTGAAGTAAACACGCTCCAATACCTATTAGTGAGGCGTCTGTGTTAATTTCAAAAGGTTTCCGTATATCCGGCGTATATAAAGACGATGCCGTGCACACAATGCATCCTTTAATTCTTTGAATGCCTTCTCGGCTTCAGACCCCCAAGGTATATCATTAGGTATAGATTTTCTCGTGAGATCAGTTAACGGCCTAGCTATTTTTGCATAATTCGGAACATACTCTCGATAGTAATTATATAACCCCAAAACTGATCTTAATGCCTTTTTGGTTCTAGGTGGCTTCAAATTTTTAATGACCTGCAATTTCTCCGGATCTGGGCCAAGTCTGCCCGAGTCTACTATGTGACCTAGATACCTTACCTCCGGCTTGCCAAAAGAGCATTTCTCTAAATTGGCCGTAAAGTTCAATGTCTGTAAAGTACTGAGTACAGCTTTTCAATGTTTAAGATGTTCTTTCCATGTTGACGAATAGACAATTATATCATCGATGAAACTTTCAGCACAATAAAAAAAAAATCCAGAAATTGAAAATGAATGCATACATTGTACATACATTTATTTCTATGCAATTTTCTTCAATTAAAAAAAATAGGCACTTGTCACACCTCACGCCCATTCAGACACGAGGCGGGTTTTTTTCATGCATTCACCATAACGAAAATAATCTACATCACCTTTGAAATTTTATCCACTAATTTATTACACATAACGGTACAAAATATCCCACGAAACAATACACTCTTATGCATTAAAAAAATACTATATATAATATAAAGCACACAAAAACATGTTTTAATTATCTCCTTTCAAATGGCATGCTTGCCGGTCTACTCGCAAGTTCTAAGTCTCGTATTCACCCCACCAGTCCTGCCTCGATCGCTACTACGTCACGGTAGCTACGTCACTTTCCTTAATCGTCTTTCAGCCTCACAGAGAAAGAGTTTCGGAAAAGTCTTCCGCTAAGGGAAGGAACTTTTATGACCGTTTTCTTGAAAATTATCCAATCGTTAAGGAGTTAAACAATCTTCCAAAAAAAAATAAATACTTCAGTTATATACGTGATCCAATATTTTAAAAAAGTATTTAAAGATTAATTATTACTAGTAACTTTTATGTTAAAAGAAAGAGTATTTAATGTGTTTCTCCTTAAGACACGGTATTAGATTATTGTTCATATTTCTTGTAGAATGCTTACAGCAACAAAAGCTATATACTTGAGTCCATTTCATATACAAAGAGCCATTTATTTATTTATTTTTGAAGACATCTTAAAAATCGTAGGGTTGTTCGTATATTTGAAACGATTTTGTGTTTGGCCAGTACAGTATCTAATTTTACCTGGAAATAAGCTCTGGCATGCTGTTTAATATGTGGTCGCTACAAAAACTGTTATAAACATTATTCACTAAGCTTTAGGGGCAAAAAAAACTCTGCAAAACGATTTCACCTATTTTTAAATTTCCGCAGACTCTCCCATCAAAAATGCATAATTATGTCTAATATTATTTTCTTTAAAAAAACTTAAAATTAAGGATTGAGTTAATGTTGTAACCAGTCAATTAAATTGTTACCTAAAATGTGACTACAAATTAATAACTACAATAATCTGCCGAGCAGTTGTTGATTGATGACTTGCAGTTTTCAAAGCTTTCAGTGTTTCTGCTCCTGCCAGCTCATGGTGACATCAATGCACTTAAAATTGAAGTATGATGTGAGAGTCCCAAGTTTTACTTAGGTCAGAACCCAAGACTATGTCATGTGAGTGGAATACTTTACCAACATCACAAAAGAGTTCTTCAGTGACAATTTCAAAAATTCCAACTCTTTCATATTTACTACTGAGTGGCTCATACAAATGCTGTATAGCTATTAATAAATTTATGATACAACAAAAAATTATTTAAAGCGAATAATTACACTAACAAGATTGTATAGATCTTGTTAGTGTTTAACAGTTAATGTTAGTCAAGTTTGAATATTATGCTAAATCTTTGAAAAAAAGTGGAGAAAAACTTTCACAATTCTTTTTGACTATGTGCATTAAAAATATCTTCACAAAGTATTTCTCTTTTGCATTTTCAAAGAGCTTTCTGTTTTATAAGCTAAATTCATTGAAATTGAAAATGGTTGTAACAAATGAGAGTTTAACTTTTCCACTGTTACTGAAGCAACTACCTAATGAAACTAGAAACTTAAAACATTTTATGTTAACTTCTTTTAACGGTAGATTTTGACTATTCTGTATTTGGCATATATCCTGAATAGTCTAATATAGTACATAGGGCAAATAATAATATACAAGCTAACCATATAAGAAACAATATATCCCTCTGGCAACCATATGTGTTCTGAAAGACAACACAGTGAGAAAAACTCATCTCACTTCACTACATTGGCAGAAAGAAGAAGATTTACTTAATTGCACCCATATGAAACCTTGTCCGCTTTTGAGAGAGTTTTGTTCAAAATAGCATGCTATTTTTGCAGAAGCTCAATTGAGTACATATGATTATTTTAAATGCATTTTCTTGAGAAAGCTTAGCCACCCAGGAGTTAATTAACAGTATAAATTCCAACATTTGAACAAAGGCCCTATCGCATGAAATGATTGATCATTATTGTTAAACCACTTCTAGCTCTTTCAACACATAAATTCCAATACGAATTTTGCTTTCAGAAATCAGTTGTTAAACCTGAAAGACAACATATTAACTACACAGTTACTAATTTGGATGCTAACACATTTTCATTGTGAAAAATTAACTGATTCTGTTATGCAGTCATCATAATGTGAAAAATATTTCAGTATAAAATGAAAATATATCAAAGTTCATTAAATAGTACCTGAAAGTGGGGTTTTTTCTATAACAGGGACACTTTTTCTTACTTCACTTTCAGATGTTAGTGGCCAATGTATATTAGATTTCTTTTCTTCTAACAGTAAGCGCCACTGCTGCTGATTATGTCCAGTTATCTGCCAAAATGTTCATTAATTACTTTCAATAATCAATTACAAAGACTATCTTATATACATAGACACTGAAATAAACTGAAGTATTGTTAACACACAAATTTATTCCACAAAACTTTCAAATAAATATTATAAGTTGCAAAATATCTCACCAATAAATAAGTAGTGTCATGGCTTTCATCATACAATATATCAAGAGCAGCTATGCCGGTGGTTATGTATGTACCACCCACTTCTTTTTTGTTAATGAGATTAATAAATGAAATTTCACCCAGCTGAAACAAAATCAAAACATTCAAAAAAGCTTTTGTAAATATCTAAATAAAAAACTCCTCAATAAGCAAAACACAGTTTTCTTTTATATAAGCATGTCTGAGTCAAAAATATTCACAACTCTATTTAACTTAGTAACTCAAGTTTATAACAGGATGTAACAAAAAAATTGTTTTGCAATATATTTTGCACCATTAAATAAAGGCTGGTTGATGTATCATTATAAAACACACAAACATTATTTATTTTGGCCGGCTTCTCTTATTTGCTTTCAAAGCTCACTACAGAAAACATTCATATTTATTAAGCATAAAGTCCCAGAAATTCACCCATATCTGCCATGAACCAAAACCAGTCTACTTACATTAGTAAAATTCTCTTTCTAACAGCTGATCCCAATATAACATTCATTAAATTCCTAGATGATCTTACAAAACACGTGCAGATAGAAGTAAAAAATCCTCTTCTTCCAGTAAAGTGAAAATATTAGAAAACTTCCTGCTTTAAAAAAGTTAAATTATTGTCTGTATTTGCAATAAAATGTGATCTTTAAAAAATAACTGAAAATTGTAGCTAAGAAAGGTTATTGAAGGAAAGGTAAACAGGTCATTGAAAAGGAAACGTACAATCTGTCATATCCTGATAACTAGACTGCTCATTCTCAAGTTATTACAAAAAATTTTACTTATGTAAAAATTAAAATTCTACCCCTAATTCGTACCTCATCTTTACAACCTAAGGAACACTACAAAGCTTATAAAGACATATAGAAAGCAAGTGATGTATAAAATTACAACTGGGTAAAGAACTAAAATTCCTTGTGATGTAAATATACTAACTAGTCTCCACTTAGTGAAAATCAGTTAGGTTTTCATATCAACAGTTCATAATGAATTTCATCAGAAAATATTTATCAGTGGAAAAAGAAGTTAATTTCCTAACACTCAAAGAACATCTTCAGTTGCCCCATTTCCAACTGATACAGAAAAAGAAAACCAATTAAAAAAACAGCCAAAATAAATTAAGATCCATGGAAATTGCAATTGCACAATTCATAACAACACTACATGCACACTGATTCCAAATAGTAATTAATCATCTAGAAGGTAAACACAATAGATAGATACTGCTTAATATGATGATGGTTAGTGTTATTCAAATATTGGCATTGAATTGGCAAAGACCTACCCACTTGCATATGAAAATACGGAAAACACATAGCTTAGTGTAATCAAAAGTTCAATTCAAATGATCAAAACATTACAGAATAAATTTTTTAAACTGAAGTAGTTGCTAAATAAAGGGAATATTGATTATAAAAATTGCCAAATGACTGAGAAATGTCACTAAACAGCTTGGTTTTGGTTTAAATCAACCACTCAAAATGAGCTTAAAAAGAAACCTTAGTTTCACTTAAAATCGTGAACAGTTTCAAGGGCAATCAGACACAGGTCCTTCCTAAAAGCAAAAAGAATTGTATAATATTTTTTTTCTTCTCAGAAAATATGAGGAACATACATTATAAAAATTTCCAAATGGCAAGGAAATTTCACCATATGCTTGGTTTTAGTTTTAGTCAACCATTTAAAATTAGCTTAGAACAACTTTAGTTCTACTTAAATTTTGAACTTTCAGTTTCAAGGACCATCAGCCACAAATCTCTCTTCTTAGAAGCAAAAAACTTGGTAATTTTTTTTCCCTCCTTTAAAAAAAAAAAAAAAAACTACGTCAAAGTAAGGAAGCTTTTTAGCCTAATTTTAAATTTTACAATGACATGAGGTTTCAATTTTATTAAGTCAGCCATGTAGAAAGGTAGCGAACAATTTTCCAAATTTCACGAAGATCTATCTGATGAACTAACCAGTTTAATGAAGCTGGATTCCTCGGTAATTTTGCTTTCATAAACCAAACTATCTCCTCCATTCTGCTCAAGGAAGCGCTCATTTTTTATCTTATATAATCATTACATTATTTTTTTTTTAATTTATACTATCGTAATCATTTTAAAATTATACAAACAAGTGAAAAGCATTATGATCTAGCAAGTCAATTTATCAGACAGATATAATGTGCTCCCAAAAACCAGTGAACAGAATACTGGTCAAAGTACACTCATGTCCATAAATTAAGGATAATTCAGAGTCACGCTGAAATTGAACTCTAAAATAAATATATCACCTGTAAAATCACTACACACAATCTTCAAGAATCATATGCAAATTTCAGGAAGTAACCAGATGACACCGATGGTACGTCACAATGACGAGAGTGTAAGAAAGTAATATATAAGGAATACAGGCAAAGAAGTAAAATTGTTTGCAGGAGCTTTATAAGCATTTCAGTGCAATAACCGAATAGTTATGACACAAAGGACGCATTTGGATGATTTTTTACGTGGTAGAATTATCGGCCGTCTGGAATGTGGGCGTACCCAACTGGAAGTATCAGACGAACTTGGAATTGCCCAGAGTGTCATCTCCAGGCTTTGGCAACGATTCCAAGATGATGGTAATGTGAGTAGAATTTACAGCACAGGTCGCCCCAGAGTTACAACGCCGAATGAGGGCCGGTATTTGGCAGTTACTGCCAAAAGAAACAGGCGGAGCACAGCCTCAGACCTGTCTCGTCAGCTCTCTTCAGCCACTGGTACGACAATTTCAAGGCAGATCGTGTACAGACGCTTAGGGCAGATTGGTCTATATGCTCTTAGACCTGTCAGATGCGTTCCACTTACTGCAACTCACTGTCGCCTGCGGTTAGAGTTAGCCTGGAGTAGAGAGCATGCATTGTGGACACCGCAACAGTGGGCTTGTGTGATGTTTTCCGACGAGTCTAGGTTTAGCTTGCAGTCTGATTCTCGCCGACTTTTCATATGGAGAGCTCCAGGTACCCGTTACCACCAGAAAAACATCATTGAACGACACCGTTACGGTGGTGCAGGAGTGCTCGTTTTGGGGTGGAATTATTCTGGGTTCCAGAACTGACCTGCATGTTCAAATTGGAACCATGACAAGCCAAATCTATCGGGACGATCATTCTGGAACAACATGTACGTTTGTTTCGGGGCGCCATGGGCGCACAATTTGTGTTTATGGATGACAACGCCCATCCTCACAGTGCAAACATCGTCAGCGAATGCCTTCAATCATAGGATATCACCCGTATAGACTGGCGAGCATTCTCACCGGACTTGAATCCAGTAGAGCACGTGTGGGACATGCTTGGCCGACGAGTTGCAGCCCGTCAACCTCCTCCTACATGTCTACCGGAACTTCGAGAGCATTGCTTTTTGAGTGGTGTAATATCCCCCAAGATCAGATCGATAATTTGATACTCAGCATGCCTAGGCGTTGTACGGACTGTATTGCATCGTCTGGGAGACATACAATGTATTAACGATCATACCAACCATGTAATATTGGTTTTTTTTTGTAAATAGGTTTTTTTAGGTTTTTTTTTTTTTTTTTTTTTTTTTTTTTTTTTTTTTTTTTTGTATTTGCTCCAGGGAGAAAAAATCGCTAATTTTTTTAATAATATCAAACATATAGCATCTTTTTTGCTCTTTACCTTTTGTTTAAAAAGCTTTACAAATAAGTCAAATTTGTTTTGCTTCTAACTCTTCCTTTGCCTGATTTTGCATTATCCTTAATTTATGGACATGAGTGTAAAATTTTCTCACAACTTTTAGAAGATTTTAGAAATTCATGACGATTGTTTTCAAATCAAAGCAAAACGAAATGAATTAGAAATAGATGACATGGGAAATGTCACAATGTTTAAAATCACAAAGTTGTAAAAAAGTAACATTTAGTAGTCCATTGATGTAGCAAAAAGCTGATAGAATAACCTGGAAAAAATTATTTGTAGCAATATATGTTGGTTTAGCCAATGAAAGAAAATACCATTTAATGCATCAAACAATAAACCATTTAACGCATTAAACAAAGGCATAACAGTGAAGAGAAAAATAAATGCTGATTTGCTTGCTACCAGAAACACTGTTATCAATGAATGCCCTAAATTGTCTAAAAAGTATTGTTGCAAAAAAACATTTATATCACACATTGTTTATAGTATAGTGAACTACCCCAAATTCAAATGGTTGTAAAATAATGAAAGGTCTTTAACCCTTTTATGCTCCATTAATATGCGTGATTAAAACAACTTTTATTAATAGAAAAGAAAAAACGTCCATGCTTTAAAAGAATAGAGTTTACCAATGGCCTACAGATATAATTCAAGGTATTTCTAACATCAGTCATTTTTATATTATGGCTTTTGAGACAGGATAACAAAGTGAAGAACATCTTTCTTCTTATTGATAATTAACTGCATCATAGCACATGAGATGAATGCTCTCTAAAGCATACTAAAATTGTATATTTACCAGCATATTATGAAGCTCTAATTCAACCTTATGATCAATCAGTTATGAGAATGATGAAAGATTACTATTGCCAATAGATGAGTACTACTCTTTTATAACATGAATTAATCTGCATATAAGTGCAATGACATGCTGCATCAATATTTATATTACAAATCCATTATGGATATAAGTGCAAATGAATACTAGTCCTTTATAATATGAATGATACAAATATGAGTTCAAATGAATTAACAAGCCTTTTAATGAATGAAGAAAATAGAGAGAATATGAAGAAAAAGCAATATCTTCAACTAATATGAATTGTGATGAATTTAATGCATTGATGAAAAACTTCAAGTTGCAACACTGAGACAGAAGATTTTCAGCCAGTCATTTTCTGAAAAAATTCAAGTATGTCAAGTGGTAAGCTTTCTGAAAATGATTATGATAAAATCAGTGAATTCCCTACAAATGCTGATATGAAGAATGCCCTCTGAGTATCAAAATTATGGGTAGAACATTTGCCAAATAAATTCCAAACACATTATGAAGAATTCATAAATGTTGCAGATATCTCACTAGTAGACATTTTCTTTAATTAAAATGCAAGTGAAAGCATATATTTTTATGTTTCTAGTTATATTGAATTAGTTACATTCCACTGATGTTTTTAAGGCTATTTTTTCTTGTCATTTAAAAATATCAATCAAATAATGTTAACAAAATAGCCATTGACAAATACGATCACATTACATCTGCTGTAGTTTCTCATAGTGCATGTGGTTATTTTAATATGGAAGAGCACATGAGGGCTATCTGCCTAAGTTTACGGATACCTTCATAAAGGATTTTCTAAGGGAAACAGGATTGTATTCATATTACACATGGGGAAAACCAATCATGCAGCCAGTGTTGGATTTCACATAACACGTAATTTGTATTTCATGTGTACTTTCATTTAATTTTGTTTACAGATTTTGTTTCATGGAAGTAGCAATAGAGCAATTTATTGAATTAGCAAAAAATATAAGCGTGTAGTAATTAATTGTTTATGTTTTAGTGAAGATCCAAATCTATTTAAAAAAATAAATCAATATTTTAGAATAAGTTTATTAGTCTCCAGAGTCTGTGATATGATGGTAGAGTATCACAGCATTTATTTTGAGGCGTAAGCAAACAGCCAGCTCATTTTCCCAGGACCAAACCCAGTCGAACTCCCACTAATCAGACATCTTCATCACTTGGTCACTAGTGGGGCCCATGGTACATCAGAAAGAATGCAAGTGCATCATAGAAAATGATGCTATGCTTGGTAGTAAGACATTTCAGATTTGTAAAGAAGTTTTGCCAAAAAAAAACTGCAAAGAAAGCATTTTCCCCTATTTATGAATTTGAAATTGTTCCAATTGAGACTGAAGATGTTATAAATTCCTAACCAGTAACATTTTTATATTCTGATACATGAGCCTTAAACCTTGCTCACTTCATTGCTTAATAAATTTACCAGCAAAAAGCCTGAAAGGTTAGTAAAATCTATAAAAACATTTTTACTAAAAGCTAAGAGCTGCAATAAGTTTCAGATCAACACAATTCATATAGTGTGATCTGTGCAAGCCACTTTCCTTAAGCCCTGCTAATAATTTTAGAAAAAATAAGTGAGCCTTTACAAAAAATTTTAACAACAGAGAAACCGTTTTTAACAACTTTTGATGATGACTGAAAACTGCGTGCTTGTTAAATATCACGTTAGCTAATTCAGTCTTTCCTCTCACGGGTAAAACCCAATCTTATGGTTCACGTCACTGTCTTAATCCATGATGAAAATTTATTAAAAAACATATAAAGATAAGGTTCTGAAAAGTTGGTTTAATATTTGATAATAAGGAGAAGCATTCATCTTCAGCAAAGATGAAGAAAATGGCAACACAAAATTCCATATAACCTGTGAATCCATTTGATATATGGCCCACCAGCAGGCAAGTGGTAAAGTCACTGAACACTGGTAGTTTAATCTGGCATTCGAAACCCAGTGAACAGACTGGCTGTATTGCCATTGCCATGGTTTTTCCCATGTGTAATGTGCATACTAGCCACTTTCCCTTTGAACTTCTCCATGAAGGCATCCCTCTAGTTAAGCAGATAGCTCTTGAATGCTTTGCCATAATTAAATAAATAAACCAAACCACTTGATATACTGTCAAAATTTTTCAATGGAACTTTTAGAACTTTCTCTGAATTTTATATTTTTCATTTCAAATTACTTCTATTTTTTATATTTTAAGTAAATGAGCCATAGTTAAGCCACTATTATATTTAGATAATTTACATGAAATAATAGTCTATCAAAGAAAAATGTTAATATTTAAACATGAAATTTCTCCCAAAAGGGTGCTGTGATGCCAGATAGTTGTCTAACAAACAATGTTTTAGTGTGAAGGGAGAAGTTTCTTTTTATATGTCAAGAAATAAGCAGCTTGGCTTTAAGGTAGCCCGTTACAACTGATTTACTTATTAAGTCATTTCATGAATGTTTATATATGTCCTGTTCAGCCAGTTACAAAAAAAAAAATCTTCAAGAAATTATTTCTAGTATTGATTATATCCTTAAAGGTTCTAGCAAGAAACACATTCTTGATAAAAAATCTAAACAATCTGGAGCATATTAAGAAATTTCATGCATTACCTCACTACCTATTATGGCAATATGCTGCCCTTCATGGGTTTCCCACCATTGCACAGACGTCAAAGGAGCTACGTATGTATAAAAAAGAAACGTAATAACATTCTTTTCATAAATTCCAGTGAAAAGAAAATTTGCAAATTATAAAATAACAAGTTATAAATTAATAAATACCTCTTCTCCCAGCTAATTTTATTTCAGTTAAGTTATCTAACTTCCAACATGATGACACCTTAACATCTGTCTCCTAAAAACATAGCAGTAATATAATTACACAATGTAAATATGAAATGTGCATGCAGAAGTGATGTACGATACTAAATATAATATGAAAATGGATTTTAAATTAATCTGCAATATAAGGTTTATACATCCTAACACTGGTGATTAATACTATCAGTAACATTGAATAAAAATGTGCCCCATGTTTATAAATCCATTTTTCAAGCAATGTCAAAGAACAGTGATAATGTTATAGCATACTAACTTCATTTTTAATATACAGAATATGCAAAAACAACACATAAATAAAAATTAATTACACTGAAACATATTTCTTATTATAAAAATTATCACGAAATTTTTAAGGATTTCCTGATAATTTTTGTAATAAAATTATCAGGAATTATCATGGATGTCATATTGTCTGTCCCTTCATAGGAGGTAACAGTGGCCACCTATTAGGTGCCTCCACAATAAAATGGCCACCCCTTCTGGCCTTACGAATGCCGTTATAGGCAAGTGCCTGCCATTGGGGGAAAAAAGGTTACATTTCCTTAGAAAGTCGTCCACAAAGGCATTCCTCCCCATAGGTAGCTGTAATACGCTTTGTCACAATACTATCCAGGCCAAGCCAATCTATTGCATCAGATGTTTACCTCACACAAGTATCGCACTAAAAATGAAGCAATACAGCTTCAGTACCAGTGGTAGTGGTAGATTGCCTGGCACAAAACCACTGTGGTTATATGCGCCAAAAAACATCTCGAAGCCATCCCAAATTAAATAGGCCACAAGTACATGATACAAAACAAGCCACAAATTTAAAACATGAGCATACTTATAAAATCAAAAGATGTGAAAAAGTGATAAACTTTTAAATAAACTAATACAAAAACTCATGTGATTTCAAATAAGAATGATCACTAAAAATATGAGATACATTAAAGTACACAGCATTAAAATATCAGGAAACAACATTAAAAAAAAAACAACAACAAAGAAATCTGTCTTTCAGGTACTGAAACAAATTGTCATTTACCTCTTTCCCGATAATACAGTTAAGAGGCAAGTCATAGTCACTAAAATACTTTAATCAAAGTTACCTAAAATGGAGAGATTCAAATAAAAAATGATGCAAGGACACAACACTATTTCAGTGAGATTGAACAGGTTCACTCTTGGCCTTCAAAAGATAACTGTGAGTGACTCGAGAGCGTCAAATCCTTAGGCCTATTAATCAGACTTCTGTTTGGTTCCTAATAGTCTCCCAGTTTTCTACTTTACATTTGACACTTCTTAATTTATTCAAGAATTAACCATCTCAAAATAATTGCCATTTATTTAGCATTCTGTGCTTGGTGACCGTTTTAAAAATCACTGTAGGGCACAAGGTGACTTAACAAAACAGTAGCAGACTTTGCTGTTACATCTGCCAGCTTGTTACCTTTTATATCTACATGGCCAGGGATGCAGCAGTAAAGAATCACATAACATCTTAATTTTTTTATGTAAATTTAAAATGTCCACTAGTAAAGGATTCCGGGTGTCAGAAACACTAATTAATGCTTTTAGGACACTTACTGAGTCAGATCTTTCTGGAATTGCTTAGAGATGCAGGTAAGAGCAGAATACAGAGCAGTCAATTCAGCTCTAAATATAAAAGAGGTATCATGGAAACAATAGCTGTCAGCATGGTCTCTTACTACAAATGACACTCCTACATGACCAGCTGATTTTGACCCATCTGTATATATTGTAATATTTTGTTATTTAATAAATAAATATAATTATTGTTGAAGTGGCAATGCCATATTTGTATTAAACTGTTACTCAGCAACGTGAGATATTGTTTTAAAAAGATTAGATTCTGAAGATTTTATCAGCTAGGAGTAGTATGAAAAATTTTGCCACTTAAGAATTGTATAAAATTTGTCTATCACCGTGACTAGAAATAAAATTTATGTTTCTACTAAGAAGATTGTCTGTTTTGTAATTACTGCAAAATACATTAGTCTTAATAATTGGAGGTTCCACGAGATCCTGGAAATTAGGAGTGCAATTATCAATTTCGATGGTGCTGGTCTCCTAATCCCAGAAATTTACTGAATTTTTAGAACAAGTTTGCTAATACCAATTGCCAAGTTTTTTTATTTCAAGGAGAAATGGATGTAAGAAGTCTGCCGTTTTAAAGCCAGATTTGAAGCGGATCATTCAAAGGTTATCTTCTGTGCTTTTATAACTTGAGTCCAAGCAAAAATCTGTCTAAAACAGGATACTGCTGATCTCTGAAGATAAGATTAACTTTTGGTTTTCTTAAAAAAGTTTTTATTGAATTTTAATACTTTGTTTCAGAATTATAGTTTATCGTGTAAGATTTTGTTTAAAATAACTGACACTAAATATATTCAGCTTAAATTTATAATTGATATTTGTGGTAAAGAAGTATTTTAAAATTTATACTTCACTTTTATTTGTATTGAATTTTTATGTTGATAATTGATATGTGTAAGCCATCCCGGCATTTATAAAAAAAAAAAAAAAAAAAGAACTGCTAGCTGAATTTTGAATTTGTTGCCAAGCAGGCATGTGGAAAATAAGTAGCAACGTCAAACTGACGTAGTGTGATTTGATTATACTGCAGAATTGGCAAAAGTTTTTTTTCTTAGTTCTCGCCATCCAGGCGTGTGGTAGATAGCAACGTCATCCCGACGTATTACAGATTGTATAGTCTAAGAGTTGAATTGCCAAACTGGCAAAAATTGCTTTTGTTATCACCAATGAGGCGTGAAGATAGATAGTAAAATCGTCAAACTGACGTGGGTAATTGCCTAACTGGCAAAGGTGTTTATATACGAGGGTAAGTTGAAAAATAAGTTTCCCCTGTTGACTGTGGTCAGAGTTGTGTATGAAAGTCAAAAAATAGAATGAGACATTAAAGATATGACATACCTTTATTTTTCCACATAGGTCCAAGTACATTGAGACATTTGTCATATCGTTTGATAGCTTCAAAAGCTCTCCGGGAAAAAAATCAGGGCTTTGCATATGGAAGAAGCGTTGAACGGCTTGCTTCACTTCAGTATTGCTTCCAAAGCGCCTTCCCCGAGATTTTTCTTCAAATCCGGAAACAGATGGAAGTCGCTTGGTGCGAGATCAGGACTGTATGGCGGATGGTGTAGGCACTCCAACCAAGAGTTGCAATA